GCTTGGGTGGATTGCGAAGAGGAAAGTGAGGGTTTCAAGGTGGTACGTTGGTCTGGCGGCCAAAGTGGCCGGAGGGTGAAGTTTTGGTGGTCCATAAGTGGTATCTCTAAGGTGGTTTAAGGGTAGTATGATTTCTGTTTTCGATTTTTGTTTCTTAATTTTATTATTATTATTTCTTTTGATAAAAAAATGTGTTCAAGAACACCGTGTAACAAATCATCCGTTTGGCATCCTTCGAGCGCCGCATGATTAGTTGTGTTAACTGTAACATACTCGATCTACCGCTTGATTCTCCCTCGTCGACCATTCCCAATACTTACAGTTAGGACTGCTGCAATTGGACAATGTTCCCTTATTCTTCGTCTCCCTTTAGACCTCAAAGTACTTTACAAAGCCAATTTTATATCAGGTGTATTGCCATTTGTTAGGGAATCCACAATGGAGTGCCCCTTCTCTTTATGACTATGACAAAGTCCGAAGTTCTTTCTGGGCATACTACATACAAACGAACACACATATTACACTACATTAGATAATAACCACACAACATTGTAAAATTGTCAAATTTGCGAAACTCATTCTCCATTAATTTTCCTTTTCTAACAGTGTTCGACAAACTATTCTACTAATTGAAAACATTTGTTACTCGTTCGTAATTACATTTGAATTAATAATGAGCACAATCAAAATTGGAAGAATTTTAAACGATTTTTGATAGACTCATGATATCAGGTTCTTCAAATAAGTTGGGATAAGGGTGAGATTTTTTCTTACTATAGGTCGAGTTACATTGGTTGAAACTGTATATTCGACCACAGTAAAAAACGAGGGTTCTTTAGACCAAATATCATACCTACATAATGTTTGCTAAAGATTCAGCGCGGAGGCGATGGCATCAAAGATAGACCATTTTGCTGCACACGGTGGAGCTTCTCTTTGTCGAGTAGGAGGAGTGCAGCCCAGTTCTCCTCGAATAATTCTTTCGCCTCAGAGGGTTTCTTCGTATTTGGGAGCAAATGAAAGTGATAAGGTTTTTTTTTTTTTTTTTTACTTTGCCAGTGCAAAGACTTGACCCATTTTTTTAGATTTCTTTTGCCTTGTCGCCATTCAAATATTGAGTAAGAAAATGGTACACATAGCATGATTGTATCTAACTTCTAATAAAAAAGGAAAGGAGGGTCTACTATTCATGCAATAGTAAATGAATCCAATTTTACTATGCATTATGTCATTTTTTATTTTTCATTTTGTTTATGTCAAACAAATATTCTTCCACACATCATCCTACTAGCATTAAAAAAATAATTATGTTAAACAAATATTCTTCCACACATTATATCATTAGCATCAAAAAAAAATAATAATAATAATTTTAGTAAATATAAACTGTCATGTGCAAAAAAAAAAAAAAAAAAAAACTTCGCACATGAACTTTAAAAAAATAAAAATAAACTCTCCGCACAGTGCGGAGATATGGCAAATCATGTGTGGAGTAAAAAAAAAAAGGAAGAAAAAACTCTCCACACTTTGCCATGTGTGGAGTAAAAAAAGGAAGAAAAAACTCTCCGCATACTGCAAAAAATTGGCAAACTCTCCGTACAGTGCGAAGTAAAAAAAATCTCTCCGCACAGTGCGGAGAGATAACATTCTGTACAGACACCGTCTTCACAAAGTGCAGACTCTCCGTACAGTGCGGAGTAAAAAAAGCAAAAAAAAAAACTTTGCACAGTGCGGAGAGTTGGCAAACTCTCCGTACAGTGCGAAGTTAAAAAAAAATCTTTCCGCAAAATGACTGTCACGTGCGTTGCACGAATTTTGCATTTATCGTATTTTTATTAGTGTATGAATTTTGCTTTTTTAGAAAGTTTTTGAAATAATATCTAAAAATATTTTCATGATATAAGAAAATAATTGCAAATTATTTTTACAATTGCATAACAGTATTGTCATCTAGAAAAAATATACTTATATATTTCATACTTGAATAAGAAATATACGAGATTATACAAATTATTTTGTTTGTATTCTTTGATAGTGTTGATATGATTGAGTTGAATATGAAAATTATATTTCTAAAGTTTGTGTAATTCAGTATTGAAAAATTGAAGATTGAGCACCATATTTATATGCATTTATATTTTGTGCTTAATATATATTTAATATTTATTTTATGCTTATATTTAAAAAAATAAAGATCTGAAATTTTTTTTGAAATTCAGTTTGATAAGTGAATATACGGTGTTCTGCATTCTCGGTATTTGTAAGTACAAAAATCGGTATATAAAAATACAGTAAGTTGCAAATACGGTAGGTAGCATATACAGTAAGTTGCAAATACTGTAAGCTGCAAATATGGTAAAGTGAAAATACGGTAAGTTATTTGCAATTACGATAAGTTGTTTACAAATACGGTAGGCTGCAAATACGGTACGTTGCAAATACAGTGAGCTGCAAATACGGTAGGCAGTATATACGATAAGCTGTATATATAGTAAACTACCTGCAAATACGGTAAGCTGCATGTATGGATTTATAATTTGTTTTAAATGTGTAAAATTTATTTAATATTGAATTTCTTAAGTATTAAATGTTGTAATTCAATATTGTTTCCTTTTTTATAATTGTATTTTCGAGAATTAAAAAAAAAAGTGGTTATGAAATTGCTAATTTTTAAATGTGTTTTTTTATTAAGATAAAAATGATATTTTTTTATTTGTAAAAAAAAATTATTGTAATTTTATTAGCGTAATAAAAAATTTATTATGCATTTTTATTTTTTGCATTATGTGAAGAATTTTGTTTATGGTGATTGACAAAAATTCTTCCACACATGTATCATGCCAACAACATTAAAAAATAATAATAATTTTAGTATGTATAAACTCCATGAGACACAAAAAAAAAAAAAAATCCGCACATGAGCAAAAAAAAAAAAAGACTCTGCAAAGTGCAGAGAGATGACAAACTATCTCTTCGCACAGTGTGAATAGAAAAACAAAAACTCTCAGGACTTTATCTACAAGTTCCATGATGCCTTTTCTCAAACAATTTTTGAGCAATGCATTGAACACTTTAATTTCTGGTATACAACCCGAAAGTATAATTTCATTAAAAATTGTATTCGCTTCTAATGTTCAAGAGTTGTTATCAAGCAAATGTAAAATATTGAATTTAAGTGGTACCCTAGAACCTCCATTTGTAAAAGCAATGTTATGGTACTATCAATATTCCCTTCTTTACACAAATCACATATTGCTTCATTGTATGAATCACGAGAAAGCTCATTTTTAATATCGTAAATATGATTTCCATGCTCAGAAATTGAGCCGTGATTAGAATTTAAAGAAGACATAATTGATTTTAAGCCATATTTTTCAACTCTGTTTCATTGTATATACGAAAAATTTACAATCTTGAAATTTGACTTGTAATTAAGGAATTTGAAAACAACTTTTTGTACTATGCGGAGAGTTTTTTCTCTCTGTATTATGCGGAGAGCTGGTTTGTCATCTCTCCTCATTGTGCGAAAAGTTTTTTTTTACTTCGCACTGTGTGGAGAGATTTTTTTCTCTCCACATTTTTTTTACCTCGCACATGATTCAACCCTTTACGCACTGTGTGGATATTTTTTTTTCTCCGCACTGTGTGGAGAGTTTTTTTCTCCGTACTGTGCGAAGAATTTTCCAACTCTTCACACATGGTTCAACTCTCTCCACACTGTGCAGAAATATTTTTCTCTCCGCACCTTTTTTTATTTTTACTCCGCACTCAGTTCAACTCTCTCCGCACTGTGCGAAGAGTGCGGAGAGTTTTTTTTTCAATTTTACAATATTGAATTACACAAAATTTAGAAAAATCTTCACATTCAATTCAATCATATCAACACTATCAAAGAATACAAACAAAATAGTTTGTATATTTCTTATTCAAGCATGAAATATACAAGCATATTTTTTTCTAGATAACATAATGCTATACAATTGTCAAAATAATTTACAATTATTTTCTTATATCATTGAAATATTTTTAGATATTGCTTCAAAAACTTTCCAAAAAAATTAAAATTCATACACTAATAAAAATACGATAAATGCAAAATTCGTACAATGTACGTGATAGCGACTAGTAATATCACAACGACCAACAACTTTGATAATACAAATTTATGCAATACTTCAAATCTTCGAAATTGTGAAAAAATTCGTTGCAGCAATAAAAAAAATATGATTCTTTATTTGTGACCAATTTCGTTTATGAAGGAATTGGTCTATTGACAAGTCAGCCCTTTTCTATACGTCGCTTTCCCTTGAAAGAAAAATGAGCTTTGCTCCTCTAGTCGCTAGGCGCTCTTGCGATTCGCGGGAAGGAAAAAAGACCCATCCTATATTGCAGCTGGCACGATTGGAAATGATGTTTAGGAAAAAGAAATTGTGACTCGGAAAGTTAAACATTGCATAGAATTATACCAGTCTATGAGGCATTTTTTTATTGATATGTGACATGCGTCGATGACTATGATCATTTATAACACATAGGAGTGTGACTTAAATTTGTGAAGTGTTAATCAAAACTTAAATGATAGCTAAATGCTGCCAATGTGACATTCTATGAAATGTATTAGCATATGGATATCAAAGTAATTGTGACATGAAAATATGTCGTTAAACTTGTGACGCATAGCCTAAGTGCTTTTGTGAAATGTTGCGTTGTGATTCATTTCTCTCTTGAAAGCTTGACTTCATAATTATTGAGTATATTGAGACCATGTAAATATTAAGATGAATGCTTTTTTCAATAAATAGCAAGACAAAGAGTGGAAATATGTCAATTATAAAAAATTAATTTTAAGGACCATTTCAAAAAGGTGTAATAAATAGTTTACCAAAATTTGATCTTTAAAATATGATTTATCAATTTTTTAATTGACCACCTCATTTGTTAAACATAAGTTTAGGCCTTATCAAGGAGATAGAAGCCCATACCAATTAAAAGCCCATCTTGGTGAAATTCAGAACCCATGCGTATTGATAGCGCACCGGAGTAGACAAGGGGCTAGGGGTTTCCTTGGCACCTAATCTTGCAGTGATTTCACTGATATCAGCAAAAGGGTAAATCAACTTCTTCATAACCAAACTTGCAAGGTAATATCAAATTTATTCGTGTAAATTTGGGTTTTATATGTTGATTTCGTTCTTGATTCAATTGTTCTGATTGATTTAGTTTCAACACAACTTTGATCTAAGATTCAGTCAAGTCTTATCGGCATTCGCATCATGTAGCTCCGTAGAATATATATTTATTCTTAAATTGTTGTTTCTTGATGGTAATCTTGCTTACGCAACAGCAATTTTTCCGGCAATATCTCTCTTGGATTTGATGTGGTTATTTATGGTTTTCCCTTGACTTTTGAACCGGCCACCCCTCAAGTGTGACCGGTGAATTACCAGGACCAAAATCGACTGGGGGAACTGCCCCCATTAGACCCCAGGTGGCTCCGCCCGTGATCCTGTATAGGGCGACGAGAAACTCTCTGAATTTCCTTCATTTCTGTGATGAGTTGAGAGACCTTTATATTATAACGAATTAAAGTGGAACGACAACGAAGAGAACATACACTGCATTCTTTGATGTTTTAGTGCTTGCTTTAAAAGCTCAGAAGTCCCGAATTATACAGGGAACAAATCAACAGCTTTGGCTGTAGGCAATATTAGACTGGATTACTTCAAAGCCTTTGTAGGTAAACTTCCTCCCATTTTAGATGTCTGAAATAAGAACCTTACAAGGTATTTTATTTCTAGCGGAAATCGTTATGGATTCCATAAAAACTACTTGTCCAGAGGAAAGTTTGATTTTAAAGGAATCATTTCCTTTCTATATATCTTTTCCCAAGAAAAGCGGGGAAGGATTACCATTAAGAACGCGAAATCTTAGTACCTCTCACTGTTATCACATATACTTCAGGCATTTATCAGGTTTGGCACCGCAATATTAATTCAGAAGGCATTAGGGCATCATTTGTGATAGCTGTTGTGTTCGACAATAAGTAAAATTGGTAGAAATGGAACAGGCAGCCCTGAGCTTAATTGCCTCATTTTCTTTTCTTTGGTTCAGGCTTCAGGGTTAGGTAATCTACTTTCTGATACGTAATTTTCTTGAATAAAATACTGAACATAGAAGAAATTTACCGAATGACACTTGCTGCTTTGACTTTGTCAAACCTTCACTGGGTGGATGGAGAAAGAAAATTAAGTGAAGAATAAAAGTTGGTATATTTGTGGAGAGAGATGGGTACGAGGGAGACTTCTTTTTGTTTCAAGGCATGCAACCACACAAACATAGCATAAGCCTCAAGGCAGCAAAGTGCTTGCTTCTTAGTCTTCCCATTTTTGGGACATTTATTATGAGCTTTAACTTTTGAGGCTGTTTTGTCGTAGGCTAGAACATCTTTAAGGGTTGATGGGCTGTTTTATCAACTAAAATGTGATCTCTAGCTTGCAAGTTGTATTGTAACTTTTTGGTGACAGACTAGGATATTGACCAGTAACTTCACTTTTCTTTTCTTTCTTTGATATATTTGTTGCTGCTAGATCTATTTTCCAGTTTATTTGTTCATCTGGAGTTTTATTTCCTTTAAAGTCTAAGGGAGCAAAAGTATTGCAAATAGTTGGTCAGTGGTTTCATTTGTCTTGGATTTGTACTTCTAGTTGTGGTAAAGTTGTCTTGTTTTGTGATTACCACTTGTTACTATTGATCCATTTTATGTTTCTAGTTGCAAATTAGGCTTTTAATTTGGTTGATTGTTTTAGGAAAAATAGCAGCCACCATCCTCAATCTTTACTCTTTTTGCACTTTTGTCCTGAATCTTTATATCTAGGCCTTCTTGTCCCCAACCTTTCACTTTTTGCCTCCCATAGTTCTCTTTAATGGTTTTCGTCAGAAATGATTGTGAAGTTGATATGATTTGATGAATTTACCCTTAAAACAAGCAAAAAATGATTAATACAGAACAACAAAAAGGAAGAAAATAAATAAATAATAAAAAATTAAATACTTAATCTCCACGATCAAGACATATGAAGTATGCATGTTCTAGACCCGTGAAAGCTTTGTTTTGTCCAAAGCTAAATCGGTTTTTATGGCAAAAAGTTGATCAAGAGTAGAAAATCAGATTTAACACCTACACCTAACATTTTTTACATTTATCAAGAAGAGACTGAAGAGTGGTGAATATAGATGGTTCCTTTTTTGGGTTTATTATTCGGGTTGTAGACAAGGTTAGTCCTATTGCATATTATCCTATTCTGGTACTCTAATGTTTGGAATTATAAGTTGTCACTTAAGTCATGCAAAGATTGTTAGGCCTGAGGAGGGTGTTCATGAGTTCTATTCATACAAGCCCTCCCCACATCCCTCTTTTCAAATATATATACACATACACAAGGTGGTGAATTCCTCAGAAGGGACTATGCTGTATCTTTTACCGAGGTTGTCACAATTGAATCTAAAATATGCATTTGACTTCTTCTTATCCCTTGGAACTATCTTGATCAATATCTCAGGTAACTAGCCAGAAGCTGCCTGTATCATGGGTGAATCATTTACAATCCAAATCAGCAGCAATTTAGTTAGACAGCTAGCCGAAGACCCTGAAAAGTCAAAGAAGAAAACAAAGAAGCAGAAACCAAAGATTTCAAGGGAACCTCAGCAGTCAGAAAAAGTACATACACAGCAGATTTCTGATGATTCCAACGCAAAAAAGGGTCATCCTGCATCTGGATGGCCACTTCAAGCTCCTTTATACTTGCCGGTTCCCCCTCCACAATCTGCTAACTCAGAGTTAGAAGCCATCCGGTCTGTCCTTCACGAGAGCGAGAAAGTAGTGGAAAGGTTGAACAAACAGCAGGAAAACCTGTTGCAGGAAGTTACTGAAAGAGCCAAGGAACTTCACGACAAGGAGTTCAAACTTCCACAACAGAAGCCAATGCCCTGTTTGGAAGAGAAAGATGCTTGTTTGAAGTGCTACAAGGAACATGTGAAGGACCCCCTAAAATGTGCTAGTTTCGTCAAGGATTTTGCTGATTGTGCACGCAGAGTTAGGCAGCTAGTTGGCACGGCAGATAAATAGGGTGCTCTGGGTTCACATGCTTCGTGCCAAGTAGTGGCCGGTATAATTTGACATTGGGATTTTGTGGTGAAATAAATCCAACATTTACTATATTCTCGATGTTTAGATGCAGCGTGTTCTCGTATTCTTCTGATTCACGGGGAAATTTTCTTCATGTTTATGATAGAGCCAGTTGAGATCCTTTATTGTGGTTCCTATCAAGGGAATTTCAATCCAAATGGGAGAAGACTAGTTCTGTGGATGTACCAATTTTTAAATATAATTCTGCGGATTTGGCAAGTGCAGCAAACCATGAAAGAGAGTTATTTGGACAAACCCGAACTCAGTTTTCAATTTTAATTTTCTCAGCTGAGATTGTAATAAATGTTTTTTTCCCGCCCTCTTTTTCAGTTTTATTTAGCAGCCAACACATTTTTATATTTATTGTTGTGAGAGATCGATATTTGGCAAGACTAGTGGGCAAAGTTATTCAAATTAAATAAATTTAAATTAGGCTTAATTCAAGTAATCTCTTATTAGGCTTAAAGTAATTCACTAATTCTTCATCGAAAAAGATAGAATTTTTTTTTTGAATAAGTAAATATGGAAAAAAAAAAAAATTTGAAATGAGACATGGCGCCCTACTAAAATAAATAGCCAAATTTTTATTATCGAGATAAGTCATTCGTCAGATTATGACATACGTGACATAATAATCAATTAGAGTAAAATATCCTGTTTCATTCAATCCATCGTCTAATATATACTTTAGTTTATAAATTATGAATAGTACCTTATCACACAACTTGTTTATACTTTATATACACAATCATAATTTCCACGTAATAATAAAACTTTTTAACATTTGCTCATATGAGCTAACCAAATCTATAAAAGAAAAAGAAAAAAATATTTATTTATTTAATTAGAAACCGCTTTATTATGTAATAGTAAATCTAATTTATAGGACTGTATTCTTCAATGTCCTGAACGCGAATCGGAGCATTCGATTCAACCGATTCGACGTCGTTCAATCATTTTATTCTTTGATTTTTTTTTTCTTTTTTTCCAATTATTTGATCATAAGCCAAAGCGATATACCTTCCACTTACAAGGTCAATTCTTAGTATTGAATTCTGTCATGAGAATGAGAATATCATAAAATACAACTTAGCTTTATGATTCCCTTTCAGATATCTGCTAATTAAAGTTGGCCTAAAAAAAAAATCATTTTGCTTTTCTAATTATTTTTATTCTTTAACTCCACATTTTCAACAATCTTCTCCCATATCCACGCCACTAATACCTAAATCAAGAGCAGAAATTATAGCGTCTTGGTTTGATTGATCGAGAAAACTTTAACAAGAAGATGTAGGTCAATTCATTCTTCGAATGTATCACAACTTCTTCCTGCGTTTTAATAATTTCGTTTATAGGTTGTGTGTGCGTTTCTTTTTATTATTCTAAATGTATTAACAACAAAAGTAATTAACACAAAACGTCTCTACCTTTAAATGTTATTATTCAAAATGTTTCTACCTTTCATTTTTTTTATATTTTCAAAACCTTTCATTGCACAAAAGGTTATTTTCGTCCATTTTTGACGATTTTATCATTTTATTTAAATAAAACAAAAACAAAAGAAAGGAAAACAACAAACTAATTGCAACCTAAGTCCCAAATTTTCAAAAAAATTATAAATTAGGTAAAAATATATTTTTAAAAATCAAAACTTTAAATAAAATAATAATAAAAACTTTATTCTTAACCCACCAAATTGGAGAACATTGAAATTTGATAAATTTCAATAAATTATATATGTGAATCTATGATTCTATATGTTAAAAAACAATGCTTTTCGAGAACGAAAATCAACATTTAAAAAAAAAAAACCCCCAAAAAATGGGGGGAAAATTAGTGGGTTTTGCTTATTTTTCTTATTTTGAGTGAAATGAAAACAATTTGCAGCTATGGTAATGTCAACAGCTTTTCTCTAAATGTCCTCTTCATGTCGCGCTCTTTATGATGACTTTCTTTTCAGAGGCAGTAGACCCAGTTGAGGACTTTCGATTTTATGAGGATGTAGGCGAAGAAGCCACCAGTTCTCTGCCACCCTTCTCTTTGACTATTCGCTCATTTGCTTTAATTTACTTGATTTCTGGTTTCAAAATTTTGAATTTTGAGTTTATTGGGAACTTCCAGTGACAAGAAAAAAGACAGGCGACAACAATGTATGTGCGTGATCTTTTGAATTTGTAAAAGTTTTATAATTTTATTTGAAATTCTAATGGCGCAACAATAAAGGTTTTTTTTTTTTTTAAGAATATATTTTTAACTCATTTATGATTTTTTTGAAATTTTGGGACTTTGGTTACAATTAGTTCATTGTTTTTCTTTTGTTTTGTTTTTGTTTTATTTAAATAGAAGGGATAATCGTCAAAAATGGATGAAAATGACATTTTGCGCAATGGAAGGTGGAAGGTAGGGATGAAAATGCGAAAAAATGAAAGATAATGACGTTTTGCACAATAAAATTAAAAGGTAAGGGCGTTTTGTGTCAATTACCCTTGACAACAATATTGTCCAGAGTCACGACATTGAGGAATTGCGCCAAGAAAAACAATTTGAAGAAAATTGAAGTGGACTCTATTAAGGTATTTGATTTAATATATTTATTTATTTTATCATTTGAGTTCAAATTCTGATCATGTTCCATTTCGATGATGTTTTATATAATCTTACAACTCATATTCATGTGGGTACTATACTCAAATTTATAGATTAAAATCAAAACATTCTTGCCATCTCACTAAACTCTGTTTCAAGTTTATAAAATTTTGTAAATCTCATATAAATTTAGAAAATTCAGAAATTAGGACACAAATCTCTCTCTCTCTCTCTCTCTCTCTCTCTCTCTCTCTTGATGTCTTAAATTTGCAACTTAATTTCAAATTTTGTAGTTTTAGATACATGTACAGACAATGATAGCTTTGGAAATAATGAAATATATCTCATGTTAATTTCTGAGAAAAATATGTTATTATTATAAATTTATAATGATGTTTTATTTTTAGTCCTTGACTTGGGTTGGTTTCTAGCCCTTGTTTGAGTTCCATTTTATTAAAAAATTCATTTTTTTAAAGCTCATTTTCAACCACACATTATTCTCCAATAAAATATTTTTACACATAAATTGAAAACTTTTTCTTATTTTTTAATCACATATTCTTCAAAAAAATACTATTCCCAAATGCCATTTTTTTTAAATGGGGCTTAAAAAGGACCTAATATATAATTCAATTTCCAAAGAAATACTTCAGTAAATTATGTTTATTATGACTATTCTTTAGTTCTATTTCCTTTAACTCTTTGTAAACTCGTTGAAATAGAAATTTTCGAACTAGAATAATCACCTTTATTGTTGCCATCCTTGACTACCTCATTGGAAAAACACCATTCCTTTCCTCGAGCACGAGCACTCTCACCAAAGGAGTATATAGCAAGGGGCAAGGCTGGGCTCAAGGGTGGAGTTACATAGAGTCCAGTGCAGGCCGATGCTCGCATGGTCAATCCTGCATAGAGGCATATGAGGCCCATGCCTCAAGCCAAAAAATTAAAGGTGCCCTCAGAATTTTAATTTATTTAAATGGAAAAACAAATTTATGGCCTTGGATTTGGTATCGTCTCACTCCAACAAATCAAAATCAAAATTATTGAAAAACCCAAATGAAGTTACAAAACGTGATCTTCTCACTTCTTTGATCTCAAAGAATCGCCTATCGATTGCCCACGCAGCCCCTGCATTAGGTAATCTGATTTGTGTCGCCCTTGCTCGGCACTGTGGCTTCTAATTTTCCGTTAAAAGGATTTATAGAGTTTGATTTTGGGTGTATGGTTGTTTGTTTATGAACTGGGTGTGTCATGTATGCTTGTTAATGATATAGTGATAAAGACATTATCATGTATGGATCCAATGTCTGGTAAAATGGGTCAAGATTGGATGGGTTCAAGCTCTGTGTGTGTCATGCAGGCTTGTTTTGGCACTTTTTATTTTTTTTTCCATATTTTATTATGTAAAGCAAGCAAATTTTCCCAAGCCACGTTTGATATCAATGTTGTGTTTATGTGCTAGTAACTTTTTGTTGCATTTAACATGGGAAGATCTTATCTATGATTTGGTTTCTTTTTGAAAAATAGTTAAATAGGATTTTTGATTTCGTAGGATTTTTAAAGAAATTGTAATTTGTAATAGGATTTTGAATTTTGATGAATAGATCAATGCAACAAAATTGTATATTTGTATTGGTGTTTGATCTTAAATTTTTATTTTAATTTTACGAGTTATGACGGCGGAATTCTCAAGGGTGCGATTTCATAATTTTCGTCGAAATTCTACTTCTTAGGTAAGTAATTGCTTGCCCTGACTTGTTATTGAATATATTGAAAATGTTTGAAACCTTGTCAATTTATATAATTGCAGACTGATCAGCTTATGTGATTGGTTATTGTAGTATCAATTGCACAAACACACATAGTATCTATATTGAAAAATCTAGGGGTAAGTTTGATTACATTTATTTTCCATGGAAAATATTAGTTTTCCAACGAAATTTCTACTTGGGGTATTTGATTGCTACTTTTTTCCATGGAAAACATTTTTCAATTTTTGAAAATACACCTAATTTTCTTTGTTTTTAAGGAAAATATTTTCCTTGGGTGGAAGTGGATTTTGTTTTCCTCAAAATAAGGAAAACATTTTCTTTTCTAGGTGATATTTCTCATGCCAATCATACACACTCTAATTGTATGATTGAGATAATTTATAATTGTCTTTTAAGTTAATGATTAGGCATTAGATATAGACTTATACACTATGCCTCCTAAATATGAGTTTGGAGCTCTAGATTAGCAATATATTGCATAATACACTATTGAATTTTGTATTTACAATGATTTTGGGAGGCCTAATTTTTTGAAGTTCCCCTCAGACCGCAAAAATCATATGACCGGCCCTGGATGCCTGCACTGGACTTTGACTTGACACAGGAAACTTCAATGTGCCGACACTGGACCAAGAAGAAGAAAAGGGAAGAAAGAAGAAGAAAAAGTGGCTGGAGGAAGAAGAGTTAGAGTTGCCGACACAAAAGAAGGGAAGGAGGAAGAGTTGTTACACTTACAGTTGTCGACAGAGAAGAAAAAGAGTAACACATTATAGTTGCAGAAGAGAAGAACAAGGGATGGACGACATGGAAGAAAAAGGGATGGAGGAAGAAGAGTTTCGTTGGGCCAATTTTTTTAAATTTTGGGCCGTCTCTTTAGTTAGGCTTTTGGAAAAAAAAAAAAAAAAATAGGCCCTATTATGAATTTATTGGCCCATCAATTTATTGTTTGTACAATGGATCTCCACCATTTTATCCGTTGTTAAAAAATATACTCTACA